TGCGAGCATGTCTTTTGTGCTGTTTTATCATTTTTTTCCAACTTGAATATTTAAATATAACAGATAGAAGACTAGCACCAAGATGCAATAAGCTACAGGCTAGTACATTCTCTCTCTATTCATATAATGTGTCCCAAAAGTTTCAGATCAAGGTGGATAAATAATCTTCAAAACCTACAAAGTTTTGCATATATATATATATGCAATAGTGTGAATATTGTGAGGATTATGCAGCACCTAATTTAATGTGTGAATTAGAAAAGAAAAGGAAGTAAGCCAGAAGTAGTTGAGAGAGCGATGAATAAAATATATCTGGTTATTGGAGTCCAATATAACAACCTTTAAATAAATTCAAATTAACTAATAAATTAAATACAGATTACAACTCACCCTGTTTCTATGGTGATATAAAAATAACTGAGCACTTGTTATGCAAAACAAATTGTCCTTTTGAATTGACAGCTAGAAAGCTCTCAGACAAATGTAACTTAGGACCCACATTTTGTGAAAGTAGGGGTGACTTTGTATTTTTCAGCTTTTAGTTCCTTATACCTGGTTTTCCTCTCTTTTTTATCCCCATTGTGTGCTATTTTTATCTTTATCTTTAAGATGTCCTAAATTCTTTTGGAACAAGTTGAAAATAAATAAGTCATTATTCTGGAAACATGGGTTACCTGTAGGCTGAGTGTGGACTATTCTCTTAGGTATGCATGGCCGGGTGCACTCTAAAAGAGCTTATAAGCACACTCTGAGAACCAGTCTCAGCACCCACTGAGAGGCTTCTCAGCATACTACTGCCCAGGGTTACTGATCAAAGGAGAAGGCAAAAGTCAGCTGTTCAATCAGGACCTGAGCTTCGGTCAAGAGTTTTGATGAGAAACCAGCAAACAGACAACGGTAATACATTTTCACCACTAAACAAAGGCTGATTTAAAAAATAAAAAAACCTTCCTAAGGCCTAGGGAGTTAGACCTAGGACCCAGATTTGCTCTGTTTTAATATTTTAATAAGTAACCAGTAACGAAAATATCTGTCTGCATTGCTATAACATGCAAATAATGCTGACGATTCCAGGTTCATACCTAAGAACACTAGCTTGATTATAGAATTAAATATGTTTATCCTAACTAACAAAGAAAAGTTTGAAATTAGTAATATATTAGCACTTTAGTCTCATCACATGCAATATTATTTTTGCATTCAATTCAACATTGACTAGTTAGTAGCAGAAATACAACATAACCTGATGCATTAAATTAATATCACTTGTATTCGCTTATAGAATTTTAGAATTTAATTTATAAATGCATTTTAGTTAATAGTTATATAAAAACAGAATATAGAAATTGATATCTAGTTTTACATTTGTAAATACATAAAATGATAAAGTTTATAGTTTAGCACTAGGAATCCGTAGGAACTTTTTGCTATAAAGGAAAAAAGAGAATTCATTCTTAAAAATTATTTGCATCTTAATTGTGGGATTTAGAGGCAAAAATGTCTTCAAGAGTCAAAGAAATAATATTCTATTTGTAATACTAGTATAATAGATAGTGAAGATGTCTCTAACACCTATCATAAGCAAAGTGTGGTTTATGGGGATTTACCTACTCAGTATCACGGCACACATGTCCCAACAGTGGGGTAGGGGCTAGTGCGTGTCCCTGTGTGTGTGTGTGTGTGTGTGTGTAAAACTGGTAAAAATGACACAACACAGAATATACAAATGCTTTTAAGTAGCTACTTAATGTGAGCAAGCAAAAGAAGTACACTTTTGACATAGTAACAAAAACCCATCAACGTAAAAGCAAAACGTAAACCGATAGCACCACTAACCACCATTTCAGATTAGACACTGCCCCTCCTCACATTCTGGTTATGACATGTGTCTGAGGTAAATCCACTGTGGGTAAAAATGATCTTCCCTAGGGATGAATCAGCTGAAACTCCTCGAAAGACTTGGGAACGTCGAGGATGAGTAATCAGCACTACCACACAGAGTCCCCACACCACCCACACCAAACAAGGTAACCTAGGCCTCAAGGTAGCATCACACGAGTAAATGGCGTATTTCTTACTTCAGTCTCCGCTATCTGGTGATGCTGTCATCAGTGATATATAACTTCCCACTTCACATTCGGATATGCTTTCCACAAATCTAATTATATTCCTTTTTTTTCCCTGCATTACTGTGATTTCTATTTCTAAATTCTCTACCTTTATATATGCCACCTCATGAAGATAGAATATTTAGTGTGGTTTAACAAACAATTGAATTTGTTGTTTAAAAACTCTAACAGCAGCTTTTCTTTAGTTTTCCTATTGCTACAACTACTACTTAATTTCGAATTCAAGGTGTTCTTTTATTTTGCTGTTACATTAACGACAGTCTTTCATTCTTGAATCTAATGAAAAAGCTTTTGCAATCATTTTTTTAACTTTGATGCTATGTTTTAAATGTAATTTTTTTTAGTCTGCCATTAAATAGGGAAAAAATCAGTAATTTCTTATACCTGGAAAAGTAATAATGTGGTTTAATGGTGAAGATCATAGGCTTTGAACTGGTTTCAGATGCTGGTTCCACTGTGAAATCAGGAAAATGTTGCTTAATTTCAAGCCTTAGTTTTCTTCACTTTAAAATGATAATAATGATAATGCTTACTTCATAGTATTGTGAGAATAATAAACTCACATTAAAAACTTAGCATAGTGCTGTGCAATGTCTTATTCTTGTTTCCAGATCCACAAAAAAGTAAAACATTTGGTAGATAAAGTAAAAGAAGATCAAGTACAAATAAGCACTCAGATTACCATGTTCTGGAAGAACAAAAGAACTGTAGACAATATAAAACAAAACATTTCCAAACCATTTCAATGAATACTGGAATGTGTTGTGTGATTTCATCTCCAGCAACTCCAGTTCCTCCATTGAGATTTCCAAAACACACACTGATAAGCAAGAATAGCCTCTGGACCAAGTAGAAAAGGAAACATACCTTGCTTTATCATTATTATTAAAGTATCCATGCTTTATTTGCAAAGTAAATGATGCACATAATAAACTGAAAGTCAATAAATATGTGAGGAATAACATTTTCTCCAACTTTTGTCAGAGTCCTTTTACCTGTATTTCTCTGTAATAAGAAAGAAAAGTGGTATAAAATAAACTCAAGTTCTGGGTCTTGTTACTAATACTAACTTTAAAAAATGCCCTGGCTGGTGTGGCTCAGGGGATAGAGTGCCAGCCTGCAAATCAAAGGGTTTACTGGTTCATTTCCCACTGCAGGGCACATGCCTGAGTTGCAGGCCAGGTCCCCAACAGGGAGCACGTGAGAGACAACCGCACATTGATGTTTCTGTCCCTCTTTCTCCTTCCCTTTTCCTCTCTAAAAATAAATAAATAAATAAATAAAACATTTTTAAAAAACAACAGCATAATGACAGTAATTTTAACTATTGTAGTGATAACTATGTATTGTTTTATTCTAATCCCTATCTAGAATTTTTTTTTAAACTTTCTGTTTAAAATGGCTCCCCTAAAGAAGGGCAGTTAAACTAAGAAGTCACATTTTAATTATGGAGTTCAAAGACAACTTTTCAAAAAAGACAATAGAAATCATGCCAAACAAAATTAGGTGGCTAATTTATCCAAAGCCACCTATTTTTATAGGAATGTGGTTTTAGAGAAAATATTATACAAACGTAAAAAGCCAATAATATTCAATTTAAAAAGACAACAGCTCTCAACTCTCCACTGAATATTGTTTAATTCCTTTAATGAAGACTAGCTCTTAATGCCAAAGTGATATAAGGGTATTATTGCAAATACCAGGAAATTTAGATGGATTCATTTTTCATTAATAACTTAACATGTAAACTAAAGAGGTGGCAAATGACACCCTCTTAATCATCCAAGTTAAACTGTTTACCTAAATAGCTTATGTCAAAACCCCATCCCCACAGGTATTAGACTACAGCTTCATGCAATGAACTGTAAATCAAAGGGTCAAATCAAATTTGAACATCACTTCAAATTTGGACATGCCCAGTTTTGCCCCACTCCCATCCGGACATCCCTCTTGTTTAAATCCCCAAAAGCAGGATTCGGAGAGCCTTCAACAGTGGCACCCGACCCAGGACCAGCAGGCCTGCGGTTCTCCTCCCAGCTCTGCCAGGGGACTTACCTTCCCTGGGCCTCAACATCCTTCCCTAGAAAATGATACAGTTGAACTACATGATCTGCAAGGTAGAGTAACGGACACTTCCCACCCTTAAAGTATGTGAAGAGCAGGTTTGACATCTAGGATATATTTTTACAACACTTTTAAAATACAAACACTTGGTACCTACCTGTTTGTGAAAACACAAGCAATGTGTCACTTGAGGTATTAAAAAAATGTGTAAAATCATTTGTCAGAACATTTACTATTCCAGTTGATTTTGCTTCAAATAAGTGGCAGAATTCAGTTGTTAACTGTAAGTGGCGTTTTCCCTTATTTGGAAAAAAGTCAAAATCAACATTTCTCTAACATTAAGGCAGACATTCTTACCTATCAGGTTGTCAAGCTACAGAATAAGGAAACTGCACGTCTAGGTTTTAAGCACACAGAGGAAGCTTATACAAGGTAGCTACACAGGTGCCCATTTATTCTATGGCTTTTCTGTAAAATAGAATAAAGATTCCCGAAGTGTGTGGAAGGGAAGAGGAAGACTAGGATATGCCATTTTAAAACTACCTTCAAACTATTTTCAAACTGAATGAAATATTATCTCAAACTAAAATAATGCAATTTTAATTATTTTAAAAGTAATACTCTTCATACATTTTTTCATACTGCACATCTCAGTGGGTTTTGTCTGCTTGTACTCTAATTCCCACCTACACTCTCCTCCTCTCCTCCCCCTCCCCGCCTTTCCTTTCTCCCTCGCTCCTCCCCGGGTGCACTCCCCGCTCCTCCCCACCACTCCTTACGCCACCCCACCGCTACCTGTGCCCTCACCTGTCGGCGCTGAGGGCAGTGAGAGTGAACACCGACACCCCGACGGAGGTGAGCTGGATGACGGGGATCAGTTTGCAGCCCACTTCCCCGAAGACCCACTCTTCAAAGAAGTAGCGCGAGGCGTCCACCGGGACGCAGGTGAGCAGCAGCAGCACGTCCCCAGCGGCCAGGTTGGAGATGAAGATATTGGGGGCGCTCCTCAGGGCGCTGTTGGTGATGAAGATCTTCACCAGCATGATGTTGCCCAGCAAGCCCACCGAGATGATGAACAGATAGAGCGACGGGATCACACAGCGGACCGCGAACTCGGCGGTGGTTCCCTCGGGGGCGGGCAGCAAATCGCTGTCCGAGAGCCCGGGAAAGAAACCGCTCTGGTTCCCGCCGCCCGTCTGGGACAGGCTGCCAAGAGACTTGGGGGGCATGGTCCCTTTTCCAAGAGAGTCTGCTGGAGTTTTCCTGCGGCCAGGTGCCCTGAAAGGTGGAATTCCCTCCCGCGATGAACGCGTCACACCGCGCGCCCCGGAGGGGACAGGCCGCTGAGAAAGGAGTCTGTCCACACGCTCCGGTTCTTCACTTCTACCAGAGGCGCGTGGGCTCCTGCTGGCTCCCGATTTAAATAAATAAATAAATAAATAAATAGATAGATAGATAGATAGATAGATAAATAAATAAATAATAACAGTTGCGTCTTGTTCCAGTCTTCACTGGCTTGTTCTCTTTTATACCCAGTGGAGAACGGCTCTTTTGTGAACAAAGATTTATCCCTCTGGGGTTAATTGAAGTACCTGCCCGACTGTTGCTTGGGGAGGCAGGAAGCCACCCTGTCGCTGTCCAAGGAACCGCGGCTGAAACGCGGGCAGCTAGCAAGGGGCGCTACTCCTTTGCTCCTGGCAAGGCTTTGCTGTTGTTTCTGTGGTCCCAGTTGTGTTGTGTGGTACGGGAGGGGATCCGAGAGCTCTCTCACACCCTGCGTCCCCACATACACTCATCAGCACCCGCCTCTGAGCAGGGGGAGCCCCAGGCCAGAAGTCTGTGAACCTCTGCGGATTTGGAGGCCGGTGAGTCTCTGATGCTGTAACACGGAATTTAGAAAATAGAAGCAGTGACTAAGGATGAAGTAAATAAATGGGATTCCCTCCGGACTCTTCGTCCTTGATCCACTTTTCTTACCCCAAATATGGAAACTCTTTCCTACAGCTGGCATATTACTTTTAAATTTCTATTTTATTTAAATATGAAGTGCATAAAATACACAATTCTTAAAGGTACAGCTCAAAGCAGAACCTACGAGCTAACCACTGGCCCTGCAGTAAGCAGTGTTAGTTCTGCCTTTGATCATCTAAGATTAGTTTGCCTGCTCTTGAGCATTTGTGAAGTTCATTCATGTTTTCGTATATCAAACTTTTCACTGCTATATAGTATTCTAGTATAAATATACCAATGTTTATTTTATTCCATTTAAGGCAATTGACATTTGAGTTCTTTATAATGGAAGCTAATTTGAATAGTGTTTCTATGAATATTCTTGTGCTTGTCTTCTGGTGCATATTTGAATGCCAGAGGATTTGCTGGGTTACAATGATTATGTTCAACTTTAACAGAAATTGACAATATTTCAAAGCAAATTTCAACTTTCCTTTTGTAAACTTGCTTGACTATATCTTTTAAGGCTAGACATATGTATGCCTATGACTTTGTAATGCCAGCCCTAAGTACATACTCAACATTTTAAATATGATGTACCTAAGAACAAAATAACTTCACAAATTAAAACCAATGGAGTTTAATATAAACTGCTAAAAAAATGGCACAGTTTTTAAATTAGCCAAATGGCACTGTTTTCATTAGGAAAACATTTGCCTAGTTCTTGGTTATTAAGGAATAAAATTGTGTAATAATAAAGAAATTAGTCAAGAACTACCTGTAATGATCTAGCCACAAGCTAATGAATGTTCCAAACCATATGAGTAATTTAAGCAAATTTTTCAGACATTGCTAACCAAGAGGGGCATTTAATTATCATAAATGAATTCGAGAAGGTGTATTTTGTAATTAACTTCACATTTATTAACTCAATCCCTTCTTCTTGGATACCCTTCTCAATACGTGGATTTCATTACTTAATGTTACTAAGTGAAAGTTGGCTAAATAGAATATTCAAACACATAAAACTGAGTATGGACAAAAACTATATTCATATTTACCATATATAAATTTTAGAGTGTCTCTAATTATCTTCAATATTATTTAAATTTTTTATTTTAACATCCAATCTCATTATGCAAAGTACATTACTAAAGCAATCTTCTAAATGAAGAAATCTCTCAAACTTTCAAACTACAACCATCTCATCTTAATCTATTTTATATGAAAACATATCGCAGTCTAAATTGCTAAATAGACATCTATATTTTCTTCTGATGTTTTCTACGTGATGCTAATTGCTTACTTTAAAAATATTGAGCCTAAAAACTGGATTAACAAATATCCAATTGCCTGGAACTGTAGAAATAAGCACCTGAATTATTTTTTTTTCAATTTTAAGTGAATTCACATGTATTTAATCAAAGTCTTAGATTAATGGGAGTGGAGAGTATAATGAATATTTTACTGGCAATGGTTTAACTAATACTTTATTAAAATATGCTATAAAGTTATTATAATTATGTATATAGTACTTGCATTTATCACCAAATTATGTATATGGGTATTGTATCAATTACATAGCATTGATTCACATTAGAAATAAACATCCACTGAAGAAATAAACTTTGTTTTATTGTAATCAATGTGCCACATACCACGTTATGTTCATATAAGAGTATACAAAGCACATACAATTATATACAGTACATAACTGTTGGGAAACGCCCCACCTGGTTTCAGAAGCCGTAACCCTGCCAACAGGCTGGAGGGCCCCAAGGCTGGAAATAATCAGGAGGCCTTGGAGAAACAGGCCCCTGAGGAGACTTGGCCTGTCCCCCGCTGGCAGGGGCACAGCCCCTGCCTCTCTCCTTTGCCATCTAGGGCCAGTGGCCAATGATGGGTAAGTTACCCTGCGCTAATGTAAACAACCTAAGACAGGTATTGGCAGATATTGGCAGCAGATAAGAAATTGGGGGACACAGAGAAGGGGCAAAAAGGCTCCCACACCACTCGGCTTGGCTTGGACACGGCCGGAGTCCTCATCGCAGCAGAGAAGCAGTCTCCTTATGTCTTGGTGGTTCCCTCCCCATGCCTGGCTCAGGCTTGAAGCAGTGCAGGAGTCAGCTCTAAACCAGGTCTGGCAGTTGCCAAGGAAATCAGACCTAAGAGTAATTTCTTTAAAGTGTGCTTTGTTCTTTCCTCAGATCTCTGGCCAGCTCAGTCTGCGAAGGACAATCACATTATTTAAACCCCTACCATGTTAAGACATTTGCTTTATTTACACCTTTTACGCCATATCTTTAAGGTGCCTTTAAGTCTACTTTCCCCTTATCGATAATCTCTATTGTTGATTTTAGTCTCCTCTCAGACCCATGTGAATCAGTGAATTCCTGTCATTTGTTTTCTTAAAGGTATCTATTCTCTGTGAAACTTAACATGCTAATGTAACGAGTGTACGTGTGCATTCCTGTTGCCTAGCCCACTGATAAGTTTTATCAATAAAAACCTTGGAACAAAGGACAAGGGGGGCTTCCCCGCTAGAGGGATGTGCCAGGTGCTTCTCCAGTAGGAGGGAAGTGCCCCCATTGGCTGTCCCGGCCAACAGAGAAGTGTTTGTGGCATTTTGTGTTTATTCCCCCTCATCCGTGACAACCCCCCGGGACTGACTCTGTGGGTTTCAGAGCCCTGCTCCCACTGCAGCGGGCTCCAGCCTGTTTCCCCGGGGGTTCAGGGAGCGCTGCGCTCTCTGGGGCACTCCCCTGTGGCGGTGGGCCCCTATAGCCTCTGAGCACAGCGACACATAACACTTGATAATAATAAACTACTATGGTGCTGGTTTATGTATTTACCATTCTAAACTTTTTATCTTTATTTTAAAGTGTACTTTTTGTACTTACTTTTTGAAAGTTTGCTATAAAACACTGTTATGTGACGCTGTACTGGCAGCAGCCTCAAATATCTCTTACTTAGCGCATCTTTAGATTGCATGGTTTTCTCTCGTGCTTGATTCAGTCACGCATTGTTTAGTTTGTTATGGCCCCCTAAGCATAAAAAATCCATTGCTAATGTTTTCAGTAAGAGGCCACATCGAGTGATTGTTCTGGAAATGAAATTAAAAGGGATTAAGGACTGGAAAGTTGGAAAATTAGTGATGGTTATTGCTCACCGGTCAGGCACAGCCCATTCCACCATAACTATGATCTTGAGAACAGGAAAAAGTGATGGAAGTCATTCCAGATCTGCTTTATCAATGACACCAAGACTGCCAACATTCAGAAAGGTTCTATATCAAACTTGGAGAAAATTCTAATGACTTGGGTTGCAGATCAGACACAGAAGGGTTGTCCCTCACAGCATCATGACAATCATGACCGAAGCAAAAAGTTTGTCCTTGTACTGTTGAAAGAAAAGTCTGGACCTGACTACAGGGCTGAACTTGCTCTGGGTGGTTTAGTCAACTCAAGAATCGCTTATTACATAATGTGAAAGTGAGGGATGAGTCTGCAAGTGTTCATGTAAAGATGACTGAAGAATTTTGGGATAGTAGATAAGCTGATTGTGGAGGAAAATTACTTGCCAGAGCAAATGTTCACTGTGGATGAAACTTCCCTCTCCTGAGGAGGAACGCTATGCCATCTAGGTGTGTGTAAGTGCGCTCAGTGACGTTCACACAACAAAATCACCTAATGATGAATTTCCCAGAACTTATCCCCTCTGGTAAGCGTTGCATGGCTGCGTAATACCAAGGGCACAATCCATGAAGGGAAGAGTGATACGCTTGACTTAATAAGCTAATCACATTTAAATACTTCTGCTTTGCAAAAGATATTGTTAATAGGATGAGAAGGCAAGTCACAGACTGGGGGGAAATGTATTAAGAACAGTTAGAACTTCACAGTATTAAAACAAATGAACAGACTTAAAAAGAGGCAAACTATCTGAACACACACCTTAACAAAGAACATGTAAAGATGGTAAATAAGCATATGAAAAGCTGCTCAACATGGTAAGTCATTAGGGAATTGCAAATTAAAACAATGAGATACTACTTCACACCTATTATAATGACCCAAATCCAAAAGAGTAATAGCAACAAATGATGTTCAGGATGTGATAAAACAGAGACTCTCATTTATTGCTGGTGTGAATGCCAAATGGTACAGCTACTTTGCAAAACAGTTTGGCAGTTTCTTACATAACTAAATATGCTCTTACCATACAATCCAGCAACTGTGCTTCTTGGTATGTGCTTAAATGAGTTGAAAACTTACTTCAC